GGTTCAAGCGAAAAAAAAATGCTCCTAGAGTCACGTGTGCATGAGGCCTAAAAGGTGTGAGCCAATTCCCAGTCTGAGGCCCATTGTTTGAAGATCACAGGAAGTTGGTATAAAGACATGTCTGGGAACTTATACTATGCAGAGCCATACAAAGCAGCATGTCCTTGCTGACAGGGGAGAGATCTATATTGTTTACACACAGGCTCTCCCCTGTCACTGTTCTTCGGCGATTTCTGGGTGCCGGCGGGGAATCTGCGGTCAGGACTCGGTGATCAACAGTTGTTGCCGCCAATGGCGGCACGGGTAGGGCGGTGCATGCGCACTACCTGCCAAGAAATGCCAAATCATATATATATCTACGTGATTTTGCGCAGACCGACTCCACTGATGGGGCACAATTCCCCACTGAAACTAATGATGGGGCACAATTCCTCCCACTGAAAGTAATGATGGGGCACAATTCACCTCACTGACACCAACAATGGGGCCCAATGACTCCATTGATGGGGCACAATTCCTCCCACTCACACCAATGATGAGGCACAATTCTTCCCAATGACACCAGCAATTGGGCCCAATGACCCCACTGATGGGGCACAATTCCTCCCACTGACACCATTGATGGGGCACAATTCCTCCCAATGACACCAGGAATGGAGCCCAATGACCCCACTGATGGGGCACAATTCCTTCCACTGAAACCGATAATGGGGCACAATTCCTCAAACTGACACCAACGATGGGGCCAATGACCCCACTGATGGGGCACACTTCCTCCCACTGACACCAATGGTGGGGCACAATTCCTCCCAATGACGCCAGCAATGGTGCCCAATGACCCCACAGATGGGGCACAATTCCTCCCACTGACACCAATGATGGGGCACAATTCCTCCCAGTGACACAACAATGGGGCCCAATGACCCCACTGATGGGGCACAATTCCTTCCACTGAAACCAATGATGGGGCACAATTCCTCAAACTGACACCAACGATGGGGCCGAATGACCCCACTGATGGGGCACAATTCCTCCCACTAACACCAGCAATGGAGCCCAATGAACCCACTGATGGAGAACAATTCCTCCCACTGGCACCAAAGATGGAGTACAATTCCTCTCACAATAACACCAGCAATGGGGCCCAATGACCCTACCGTTGAGGCACAATTGCTCCCACTGACACCAAAGATGGGGCATTGTTTTTCCCCCACTGACATCGAAACCTTTTCTACTCCCAATGCCCACAGTCTTTCAAAATAAACGTTTTGGTTATGTGTTGATTTATTTTTCGGTCTACTCATTTATGATTGTTTATACATTTACTAGAAAGCTCTTTGTCTGTCATTCCCCCTGAGGAAGATCTAGAATGTGGAATGGTCGAAACGCGTCGGGGTATTTTATTTCATTCCTGTGTGGTTTCATATTTGTGTATTAAGAGTTCTCTTGTAGGAACACTATCAGAGCAATATTCTTTTTTAGAAACCATGTATGTAATATTACAATGGAAATGTGTATGTAATAAAGGTGATAAAAATCTTTTTTAAACAGAATGTCTCTTTCAATATATGTGCGATCCTAATGCTGCATTAACCCCCTCACGCCTAAGGGTAAAACAAATTTTAACAATTTTACAACGTTGACATGTGTTAGTAAAACCGCACATATCACCACAACTACTCTGTACATCCGGTGAATTATACCGCGTTTTTTTCAGGGCAAATTGGGCTTTCATTTGGTGGTAAATGGTAATGGATATCTCCTAATTTTTTTAATTATCAAAGGAAAACTGACCCAAAATAGTAAAAAAATAATTTTTTTTTTAAATTTACAGTTGCAAGAAAAAATATGTGAACCCCTTGGGATTACGTGGAGTTTTGCATGAACTGGGCATGAAATGTGCTCTGAATGTCATCTAAGTCACAACAATAGAAGAACACAGTCTGCTGAACATAATACTACACAAACATTAGATGTTGCCATGGTTTAATTGCACATAACATGTAAACATTCACAGTGCAGGGAGGAAAAAGTATGTGAGGCCCTAGCTTAATGACTTCTCCCAGAGCTAATTGGAGCCAGGAATGAGCCAACCTTGACTCCAATCAGTGTGATGATATTGGATGTGTTGCTGACAGCTGTCCTGCCCCTAAAAAACACACACCTGTTTTGGGTTTACTGGTTTCAAGAAGCACTGTCTGATGTGAACCATGCCTCGCAGAAAAGAGCTCTCAGAAGACCTACCATCAAGAATTGTTGACTTGCATGAAGCTAGAAAGGGTTACAAAAGTATCTCCAAAAGCCTTGATGTTCATGTGTCCACGGTAAGACAGACTGTCTACAAATGGAGAAAGTTTAGCACTGTTGCTACTCTCCCTAGGCGTGGTCGTCCTGTAAAAATGACTGCAAGAGCACAGCGCAGAATGCTGCATGAGGTAAAGAAGAATCCCAGAGTGTCAGCTAAAGACCTACAGAAATCTCTGGCACATGCTAACATTTTTGTTGACACATCTACAATAAGGAAAACATTAAACAAGAATGGAGTACATGGGAGGACACCACGGAGGAAGCCATTGCTGTCCAAAAAGAATATTGCAGCACGTTTGAAGTTTGCAAAAGAGCACCTGGATGTTCCACAGCACTACTGGCAAAATATACTGTGGACAGATGAAACCAAGATTGAGTTGTTTGGGAAGAACACACAACACTATGTGTGGAGAAAAAAAGGCACAGCACACCAACATCAAAACCTCATCCCCACTGTGAAACATGGCGGAGGGAGCATCATGGTTTGGGGCTGCTTTGCTGCCTCAGGGCCTGGATGGATTGTTGTCATTGATGGGAAAATGAATTCCAGAGTTTATCAAGACATTTTGCAGGAAAACGTACGACCATCTGTCCACCAACTGAAGCTCCGCAGAGGATGGGTGATGCAACAGGACAATGACCCAAAGCATACAAGTAATTCAACAAAACAATGGCTGCAACAGCACAGAATACGCCTTCTGGAGTGGCCCAGTCAGAGTCCTGACCTCAACCAGATTGAAATGCTGTGGCATGACCTTAAGAGAGCGATTCACACCAGACATCCAAAGAATATTGCTACACTGAAACAGTTTTGTGAAGAGGAGTAGTCCAAAATGACTCCAGATCGTTGTGCAGGTCTGATCTGCAACTACAGGAAATGTTTGGTTGAGGTTATTGCTGCCAAAGGAGGGTCAACCAGTTATTAAGTCCAAAGGTTCACATACTTTTTCCTCCCTGCACTGTGAATTTTTACATGTTATGTGTAATTAAACCATGGCAACATCTAATGTTTGTGTAGTATTATGTTCAGCAGACTGTGTTCTTCTATTGTTGTGACTTAGATGACGTTCAGAGCACATTTTATGCCCAATTCATGCAAAACTCCACGTAATCCCAAGGGGTTCACATACTTTTTCTTGCAACTGTAGCTGTGTGTTTCTTGTTACTACCATAACCTACCACCAAAGAACAATCCCAAATAAATTTTCCAGCTCTTGGCGATCGCAGCGATACCCTATATGTGTATGTTGTTGTCGTTTGTACCCGTAGTACAGCCCAGAAGCAATAGTGTGCATTTTGTTTTTTTGTTTTTTTTTTTTACCTAAAATACACTGACAGTGACACTGACACTTAGGTCGGCCCATACATGGGTCGAAAATCGACCGATTTTTTATCCGAAAATCGGACCTAAGAATAATCATCCCATTTTCGCACTGTTAGTGGGGTCAATGGCACCGGACGATTGTTGTGGTTCCTCCCCTTTTCGGTGATCGTGCATGTTCAAAAATGCGTGAAAAACGACTCAATGATGGTCAAATCATACAATCATTTTTCCAAAAAGAATATGCGCATGAGCCCTGACCTGGAAGGAACGGAGGTTTTCGCTTGTTATATGGGGTGAACTTTATGACTCGGTCGGCCGATTTCTGAAATCATTGATGGCACCACCGGATTACCATGCAAACGACTTTTTCCATTTTTGGCCGAAAATCATTCAATATTCGAACCATTTACCCTGGCACTGAACTAGATCAAGCTTTGATCTAGGTATTTTTCCTTTATGTTTTGTTTTATTTTTTAATATTTATTTATTTTTAATTTTTTTTAAATTTTTTTACAACAATTTTTTTCCCTCTATGCCAGGAGTTAGAGAGATGCAATGTGTCTCTCTCCTCCATTCATAGAGAGAGGAAAAAAAAAAACACAAGAGGGTCGGGCTGTACAGTGACTGATCACTGTGATTGCCAATCAGAGGCCAATCAGAGGCTATCACAGCGATCATGTGACCCGGAATCTGGAGTCACGGGTCCCGATCATTAGGGGCTCTCAGTGACACCGCGGTCTTTGTGCTGGGAGACGCGCTGTGCATAATACAAGAAAGTCAAGATATAGAATACAGAAAGTCCAATGTTCAGGCAACAGCATAAGTCCAATATGTGTCCAGAGAAAACATCGAAGGGGGAAACAAAAAGTCCTTCACCAACACCAAACATACTGCCCCTTACCGGATAATTCTGACCCCCAAAGGAAGGTCAATAAGCGCTATATGTTTCCCAGAAACAACCGCTGGACTATATATACTTCATAAGAATCCATCCTTCGGGACGCACCTGAATTTCCTCATAATGTAGTAAATAACGGTCAAATAAAATAGTAATGCATGTATTTGTCATGTCTATTGAGGACCACCCACCTCCTGGGGAGAAGACCAAAGAGGACTCAACAGGTCATATGACTGGTCAATAGACATCTAGAGAAAATAATTATAAATGATAATAGTAAAAAATACAGAGAGGGTGGGAGGGGGGTGGTGCAAGGGGAGGTAGGACGGGAGAACCCATTATTGGACTTCATATTAAAAAAAAAGCAAAACCAAAACTAAAGAATCTGCAGTCCATATTTATTCCTTCACGCCCGGACAAAACACGCATCACACAAAACATTGCAAAACCAATTATTTATTTTCTTTGCTGTTGCATCACATTTTGCAGCTGTGCGAAGACGGTGGCTTGTTTTTGTCTCAGACTGGTTTCAGCGAAGGGAACCTGCCGGAGAATATGGAAAAAGAGGAATTTAAACCAGTTGCATACATGTAGGACCATCTGATGAGTCTTGTGTAACCTTTTGCTAACCCTATAGTTCATATGTGTAGGGGCAAAAATGGTGGGCCCTAATGCCAGGGCCAGGATGGGGGCAAAATGGGCAGCGGTCCTAAGTGCAGTGGCTTTAATTTTTTGGGGGTACTGCAAGGCAGCAGTCCATAGACTACCGTCAACAGAGCTGGGAGCCTGCCCTCACCCCTTCCATCCAGCTGCCTGGAGGAGCCCAAGCAGAGGAACAGCAGGGCCGGATCTAGCCTGTCTGATGTGGGAGCAAGGGCGGACTGACTATTTGGAAACTCGGCACTGCCCGAGGGCCTGGAGTCAGTAGGGGGCCCCATGAGATGCCCCTGGTACCTTTTTTCATAGGCTTTTTTGAGTCTGGGCAAGGACACAGGGGCCCCATGATCCCCTATTGCCCGGGGCCCCATGAGTTGTCAGTCCGCCCCTGTGTGGGAGTGCAATAAAAAAATGGGAGGTCAGCAGGGCAGTGTACAGGGGTCAGCAGGGCAGTCAGTGGTGTATTTAGGTTTTTTGCTGCACAAAGATTGGACACCCCCGCACAGAGAGAGTCTGATACTGACCAACAGCGCATCACGCACACCCTTCCCCGTGGAGAGAGCCTGACAATGAGCAAAACCAACCAACACCCCCCCCCCCGGCCGAGAGAACCTTCCACCGCCCCTTACACACCTGCCACCACGCCACCCCCTCCCAGCCAGCCAGCAAGAGAGAGAGAGACATTCACCTTCACAGTTCCAGGCATCCCTGGGAAAGAGAGTCAGGGTCAAGCAACCTGCAGCCTCTCATGGGTTCTGGTCCCCGTGCCGCTTCTATTTTTTTATCCGCTGCCCCCCTGGAAAATGCCACCCTAGGCAAAGGCCTTGTTTGCATTGTGGTGAATACGCCCCTGTGGGCTGTGTACAGGGGTCAGCAGGGCAGAGCACAGGGGTCAGCAGGGCACAGCACAGGGTCAGCAGGGCAGAGCACAGGGGTCAGCAGGGCACAGCACAGGGGTCAGCAGGGCAGAGCACAGGGGTCAGCAGGGCACAGCACAGGGGTCAGCAGGGTAGAGCACAGGGGTCAGCAGGGCACAGCACAGGGGTCAGCAGGGTAGAGCACAGGGGTCAGCAGGGCACAGCACAGGGGGGTCAGCAGGGCAGAGCACAGGGGTCAGCAGGGCAGAGCACAGGGGTCAGCAGGGCACAGCACAGAGGTCAGCAAGGCACAGCACAGGGGTCAGCAGAGATGAGGACAGGGGACAGCAGAGCTGAGAACAAGGGTCAGTAGGGCAGAGGGCAAGGGTCACAACTGGCAGGAAAAAGGACAGGGGTCACTGCTGGCAGGGCACTCATCAGAGCTTCTTCTCCCAAACCTGCACTGCACACAGCTTGGGCACAGGCAGAAGAGATTCTCCTCCCCACACAGATAGCTTTGGCTTTAGAGGGCACAACTAAAATCTAGGGGGGCATATCCCACCCCAGCACCCCCCTAGATCCGGCCATGAGGAACAGTGATGTCTCCAGTTGTAAGGTCCACTGTCTGCATCTTTGGCGCATTTAGGAGGGTGTGGTCAGTTGCAAGATGCAAAATTTTTTTTTTTTTTCATCTTGCAACTGTCAGACATTGGGGGCGCCAATATTAGAGGGAGGAGCAGTGCAGTGCAGTTTGGGATCTTCCCTGGGTACTGGATGACCTTGTCCCAAGCAATGAAGAATTCCCAACATGCTGCACATAGGCGTCCATGTCAGTTGAGGTGTCTATGCATGGCTCTCCACCTGGTGGTTGGGGCTCCCGATTGTGTGACCACCAAGACAGCCAATGGTGGTCACGTGACCAAGAATTCCCTTCCCCCACCACCTTAAGATCCATTTAAAGGGCTGCAGCGGGTGGGCAGGAATGGGTTATTGCAAAATATTAGCAACATGCATTGTTGCGAAATGTTTGTTTGGACAGCTTGTAAATGTAAAGTCACTCTACATTCATAATGAACTGTATTCCGTCATTACGTGAGCAGGCTGTGCTTCCTACTTAATAGTGCCATGCAAAGCTTGTGCCTCGATCCTTGTATGTCATCACATGTCTACCAGACAGGTTTTGTCTGGCTAAAAACAAAAGACGCTCTGCTGTCTCTGGTCACCATGCTCCCGGTAGCCGGAGGTCATGTGATCTTTGCCTAGGGGGTTTTAGGTCGCATGAGGGAGCAGCATATTGCTTCTTTTTAATTCAAAATGACATTGGGGTTTGGTTGTGAAATGTGGATTTTAATAATAGGTGTGGTTTCAATGTTAATTGTGTGATTTGGGGAAGGGCCACTGTGTGATGGATTTGGTAAAATGCCTATTTCGTTTCCTATTGAATATATATATATATACGCTATTTCTATAAGTTTTATAAATATTTATTTTTTATACCTTAATACATATGTTGTGTGAATATTTTCTGCCTGCTGGGCTTTGTGGTACTATAAGAAATCCTTGCTTAAGAAATGTCTGCTCACACACACTGCCCCCCTCCCACCGTGTGATTTGGAAGACAGAAGAATGTTTTCCTATGAGATAAGGCCTGGAAGAAGATCACACCTATACCATGACGGAGATTGTTTTCATGTGGAAATGACCAATCAAAGACTAATATAATGCTTATGCTGTTGTCACATGACTCTCGCATCATTTTGCATATATAAGCTCACTTTCTCATTATAATAAACTAGAAGTATTCATAGACTGAACTTGTGTGTCAGCGTGAGTCTCTTCCAGTGTGCGCACATTCCAAAGCTAGCGTCATAAATTAGGACAGGAACAGATAAGCACCGGACATTTTTAGTCCTCTACTAACTAAACTGTAAGATAGCATTGTGTGCGATGACATGTTGGAAATTTTAGGACTTTATCAGAGTTTGGATTCATTTCCTCCTATGGGACATAATTATACACATAACAAATACTGTATATACAGTTATATGTTTTTTTTTCTCCAAAAAGGGGATCTGAATGCAAAACCAAATGCAGCTTTTTACTTTACAAATGAATTTCGGAATGTTGTGTCTTGATTTAAGGTGAACCTGTTACCACTGAGCTTCCCATAAACCAGCACTGCTCATAGCAATGAAATAATGTTCCTTATATAAATAGTGATCGTTCTCTGCACTTCTTGAAAGATTAGATGGAGCTTGATTGCTCCACTGTGATGGGCCATCTTGGCAGGCGGTGCCTGCTACCTATGCCTGGTGCACCTCTAAGCTCCCCTCAAGAGGTCATGTGACACAATATTGACCCAAGGGGCAGAGATGTGCCAGGCAAGCAAATCCTGGGGATGAGAATAAGGCAAGATGAAACCATTACATTGAATTATATAGAGGGGTGGGTGCTAATTTAGATCTACATAACCAGGTTCTTCTGTTTCTGAGGGACAGTGTGGTTTCATTTGAAAATCGCAATGACTGGTTCTCTTTAGTAGACAACCACACCTAAAATGAAAATGGTTACATTATGATCATCCTGTGAAAGAAATTCCAATTCTAGTTAACAATGTGTGGATCATCGCGCCTTTATAATCAAAGACATGTGGACAACCCTCAAACAATCGTACAAATGTACAAAGACATTGTTGACATTTGGGCTCTTCCAACCCTTGTGGTACCAGTTTGGTGAAGACCCTTGTCTGTTCCACCATGACTGTGTCTCTGTGTACAAAGCCAGCTCCATAAAGACATGATTTGACCAGTTTGGTGTGGAGGAACTTGAGTGTTCTCCACAGAGCTCTGACCTCAACCCTACTGAACACTTTTGGGATGAACTGGAATGTCAATCGCAAGCCAGGTCATCTCATCCAACATCTGTTCCTGACATCACAAATGTTCTTTTGGCTGAATGACCGCCATTTCCCAAAGACGAACTCCACAATGTTGTGGAAAGTTGCAGCTCCATAACGATATGTTTTGACCAATTTAGTATGGGGGTACTCAAGCGGTCTGCACAGAGCCCAGACCTCAACCGTACTGAAAACCTTTGAAGTGAGTTAGAATGCCAATTGTGAGCCAGGTCTACTCATCCAACATTAGTATCAGACCTCACAAATGTTCTTTTGTCTGAATGAACACCATTTCCAAAAGATGTACTCCACAATCTTGTGGAAAGTCTTTCCAGGTGCCACAAAGGGGGGCCAGCTCCATATGAATGTCTATGTTTTTGGAATGGGACGTCCAACAAGCTCATAGACTGTAGGTATGATGATCAGGTGGCCACAGCTTTTGGCATATTGATGGGGGTCTACTACATTATAGCCACAAAGGGAGGCCAAAAAAATATAGCCCAAAGGGAGGCCAAATGTTCTTTTGTCTGAATGAACACCATTTCCAAAAGACGTACTCCACAGGTTATAGCCACAAAGGGAGGCCAACACCATATTAATGGCCATGGTTTCAAAATGGGATGTCCAACAATCTCATATAGGTGTGATGGTCAGGTGTATTCAACCTTTTGGCCATATTGTCTGTAGAGTAAAAGTGTTCATATCTGCATAGAAATATCTGACAATGTGTAATTTTGCTGTGCAGCTCTCGCTGGTAACCTTTTGTAACCCTTTGTCAAGGTCCTGTCCACGGCAGGAGTTCTGGAAGTTCTGGCATTTCTGCCAATACTCTACATGACCGCAGAAGCACACATCAGCCTCAGTCTGGTACCATACGGCCTTTATAAGGAGGCTCATCACTTCCTCTGGTTGCTGATGATCTCTAGCTCCCCGTGCCTTGTTCCTGGTTCCTGTGATTCTGACTTGTGATTTCCTGTTACCGACTCGGCTTGCTCTTGGACCTGTCTACTCTGATTAACCTGTGATCTGACCTCAGCTTGGCTTATGGACATTCTCTCTCTCTCGCTCCTCTGTGAATGACCTCGGCTATCCCATCTGACTACGACCGCTCTGATTCCTACCTGGTACCTGACCTTGGCTTGAACCGACTATCCAGTAAACATCCAAATCCCCGAAGGGCTTACATACCACGCACAGGTGCCTCCTGTCTGCAGACCTATCTCCATGTACCAGCTGTGCTTCTGAGTGGACCACCAACCAGCACTCCTACAGGCGACCTGTGCAACTTTGGGCCTCACTCCCGCTGTCCCACTCTCAGGGGAGTCCGGAACTTAGCCGCAAGGGAAGCCCTCTCTCCATTGGCCTCCATCACCAGGTACGTGATACCCTTTCAAGATGGCTAGGTTTCAACTTTTCCAAAATCTCTTTTGATTGGGCCATATTGCACCTCAATGTAAATGTAAAATGTTTTGCGCATTCTTGTTAAATAAGACTTTCATTTTTAGATCAAGATCATGTTACATTTTAGGAGGCATAAATGATAGTTGAAGAGGAATTCCACTTTTCACAGTGATAGCGTTTAATTAAATGTGGCCCTATGTGTATCACGTCTAGTGATGTATGCAATAGTTACCTTATCACAGATTGTACTGACTTCCGTGTCTTTCTCTGTACCTGTAATTTGAGCACACATTGTAAATTGATATAAACTGTAGGGTGTATCTTCCCAGCGGGAACACAGACAGCAATAAAAACTGTAGCAAGAAGAAAAAATAAATAAAAACACTTATTAAAGGTGAAATAACAAAGTCAGCTTTTGCTGAAATGTTCGGAATTTCACAGCAGTACTTTTTTCTGCCATTTAGATGTCCTCAGTCTGATGGCCAGCACCGTTTAACCCACTTCCCCTGAGTCCAGGTCATCCTGGACCCCCTGCAGCCTGTAACTTGAGAGTGAAAAGAGAAACAGTGATGAGCTCATATTTCTGTCACTCCGATGGTCATTCCATCACTCAACTCAAGAACACAGCCTAGAGCTGTGGCATGCCCGGATATTTTTGAAATCCCGGGACGGTCCCACAAAATCTGGAATGGTTTGTGGTACGTAGAGGGTTCTGGTTGTTCAATGCTCAGCATGACAGCCAGGCAATTAGCACTTTCAGAAGGAGAAGCCAAGAATGAAATCCCTATATTTCTCAGGGTTCAGCTTTAGGTTGAAGGCCTCATGATATCAAGCAGATCAGCTGAAAGTGGAAGTGTAACAGTGTTGCAGTGCAGCATGAAGGTTCGGTGGGTGTTGAGGAAATAGCTTGGTGAGATTTACACTATATGGTGGTTGGAAACTGTGCTAAATTCATGTTTGTTGGCAGATCAAATAGACTGAGGTGATGAGACACACAGTGGTCAGGATGTAACACGTAAATGTGCTAAAGACTCTCATGCATGCCTTCTCAACCACTACGACCTCATGTTCAGGTACTTTCAGTGACTCCTACTTTCTGCCTCCTGTAGGCATTAAAGGGGAAGCATGGGTGCTCTTGATGGCCTTTTAGTTGGTATTTCTTAAATAGAGCATCTGCCGAATGTTTGGGTATGTGTATAAGCAGGTTGGAATTAGCTAGATAAGTGCTGCCCCAGATGGGAGGGTAGGGTTAATTCCTTTCCGAGAATCCAAGAGCTGTTTGAGCCTTGTCTTGCATTTTTCCCAGTTCCCCTAGTAGGAGACCGAAGGATGTGAGCGCAATCCAACTTGGGGTTCGTCCCGAAAATACCAGCTACTGGAGGATGCCACTATTGGACTGTGCTTTACATAGACTCTGCCTCTACAGGTATGCCGGGGCAGCACATAGCCTGGTTAGGACTAGGGACTGGGGAATTAGGGATGTTTTATGGAAATCCCGCTGGACCATTTTTCTGCTTTTGCACACTGTTGTAATGTTATTATTATTATTATACAGTATTTATATAGCGCCAAAGGGTTTCCTCAGCTCTGTACAATAGCGAGGGGGACAGAACATGAAACAATACAGTAACAATACAATACATGAGGGGTTCGAGGGCCCTGCTCTTTCAAGCTTACAATCTAGGAGGGAGGGGATAGTGGTATAGGAGGAAGTGGCTGTGGGGGATGGAGTGGAGGAGATTGGTTGTTAGGTGAGGGTGGGGTAGGCTTCCCTGAAGAGATGGGTTTTCAGGGTGCGCCTGAAAGTGAGGAGGGTAGGTGACAGTCTGATGTATTGGGGTAGGGAGTTCCAGAGGATGGGGGAAGTCCTGGAGTCGGGCGTGGGAGGAGGAGACCAGGGAGCTAGAGAGTAGGAGGTCCTGTGTGAGGAGCGGAGGGCACGGGTAGGGTGGTATTTGGGTATCAGGTCAGTGAGGTAGTTTGGGGCAGCGTTGTGAATGGCTTTGTAGGTCAGAGTTCGTACTTTAATTCAGTAAAGCATTGAACTTTGCCTTTTGCCTGGTCTGAAGTCATTTGAAAGGGGTGCATTGCAAGTAGCTTGCACAACTTTGCACTTAGTCCACAGCTTGGGTCACTATCATATGGGGTAAAAAGGGTTACATGCTAAGAGTCACCTTATACATGTTATATATGTAGTTGCCATGGGCAACAATGGGTACCTCTTAGAGACGGGATTGCTTCTAGCTGCAAGGGAGCTGTTGTTGGCACGCACTACGCTGCATTCCATCTCCCATAACAACTGGAGTGGAACTGCACTGCAGAGGTCCAAATCTTGTACAGAGATACGGAAGTTCAAGAGTTAGTTGAGTGCACGTTGGAGCCAATGCTATGTGCACAACGTTGTTCCATGCTGCTACTGGAATAGGTAGTGGGAAACTGTGGACGGGTGGTTGTGATCGGTATTTGGCACGGCCTACCTAATTTAAAGCTACAGTGGCAAGATGTACATTTACACGGGTACCCGAGAGTAACTGAGGGACATTTGTTATGCAAGTGTACATGGTGTATCGATTATCTCTAAAGTCAGAGGCAGGGGCGGACTGACAACTCATGGGGCCCTCGGGCAATAGGGGATCATGGGGCCCCTGCGTCCTTGCCCAAACTCAAAAAAAGCCTATGAAAAAGGTAGAAGGGGCATCTCATGGGGCCCCCTACTGACCCAGGGCCCTCGGGCAGTGCCCGAGTTTCCAAATGGTCAGTCCGCCGCTGGTCAGAGGTCCGTATTCCCCCACGGCGGCCTCAACATTGTGCCAAGGCATTGATGAAATGGCACTAAAGCAAAGGTACCACATGTGTTGGCTAATTACCCTTTCTCAGGTGCCTAGCATAGCCCTGACTACCCAGGGGGTAGTCCTCTCATGTGACTTGGTTACCAATGAGTTAATTGAGAAACATGGAAGAAACATCCATCACCACCTGCCTATACCCTGGACCCTCCTACACATGTACAAAGCTCCAGACTCCAAACACCTCTGTCTTCCCAGATGGTCATAAGTGGATCCAACTAGGCTACTAGCTCCTAGAATAAGCCAAATGGCTATGAAAAATTGCGGTAGTGCGGTCCACCGTACTTTCTTGTTGATATCCTGCATCCTAAAGAGTTGTTTCTTTGGTAAATTGGTAAAAAAAATTATCTTTGCAGTAGTGCAGTGAAGGGTTGGATCCTCCATCTAGGTTCTGTTGGTGTCTATGTCCCTTTGGGGAGGTGTCACCCTCACTTCCTGGCCATGAACAGGAAGAATAATCTGCTGTATGGTGATACCGATGGCATGTAAAACTTCATAGAGGTTCCAGTTCTTTCCTATTCTACATAAGAGTCAGGAGGGGTTATATGTTTGTACTGGTGTCCCCACTGAGGAGATGTCACCCTAATGTCCTGGCCACGTGACTGGTCTCAGACAGAACAGGAAGATTAATATTTTATATCAACCATTCTTAACCTTTTCAACACAGAGGAACTCTTGAAAGAACTTTCCAGTTTCAGGGAACCCCTGCTACAAATGACTATATCTACAACATGATACATTAGTAGGATGGTCAGTGGGAAGAATGCTCCTTACATTGTGGTCATTGGGAAGAATTGCCCCCTTCTGGATAGCTAAAAGGATCAATAGTGTCAGAGGGAACTGACACTATTTGCATGTTCTCCCTGTGCCTGCGAGGGTTTCCTCCGGGTACTCTGGTTTCCTCCCACACTCCAAAGACATGCTGGTAGGTGAATTGGCTACTGTCTAGGTTGGCCCTAGTATGTGTAGGTATGAATGTGAGTTAGGGACCTTAGATTGTACGCCCCTTGAGGGTTAGGGACTGATGTGAATGTACAATACAGGGGCAGACCATTGGGGAACTCTGGCACTGCCCGAGGGCTCGGAGTAAGTAGGGGACCCCATGAGATGCATATAAAAAAGGGGATTTGTGAAAAGAGATTCACAGAAAAGCGGCTACATAGTGAACAGAACGTGACACTCAGAAAAATTTCCAAAAATTATGCTTTATTACACATATAAAATATGACAAATGGGCAATCGCCCTGGTTTACCATCACCACAGTATGAGACAATACACACAGACCTAAAACCATATAAAAATGACACCAAAACCGGTCTGAATGCATGTGCAGCAGAAAAAATGACTACAAGAGTCTAATGTCCCTGTAGCACAGACACATAGGTGAACACTTCCCAAAGGAGGTGTATCCAAAAATTATACCATAGGCATACCGTAATGTAAGATATAATAGATTAAGCTATTACCATGATGGTAAATCCCAATCAGGGAATCCAAAAATTATACTATGGATATGAATATCACATGTATGCAATGCAGCAAGCACAATATGCGTCAAAAAGAGAACATCAAGCCTCAGGCCTGTATGAAGGAAGACATAATGTCAAAAATATAATGCAATACATTCCTGTGCCGGCACAAGTGGTTGGAGCCCATTCATCTGTAATATAAACAGCTGTATCCTAGAGCTGGGCCCTGGGTTCGCCGAAACGCGTTGACGTCATACGTCAGATACGTCACTTCCGGTCATGCGCACTAGGTGGAACGCACGCTGACCCATAAGGAGGAAGCCATCTTCACATGCCATGAGGCAAGCTTAAGCAGCACAAGCGCCAAGAAGGGGCTGGAACCCGCGGTATATCGGCGGATGTCAGCGGTGGTTCCTTGGCCTCTTTGGCCCTGTATGGCAGTACCTATGAAGGACTTCTCTTTCATTCCTATTATCCACAGCACAGGTGGTGAGTGGACTGTTACAGGACATTAGATATATGGTCCTCTGTGATCTACATGACCTATATATCCTATATAGAGTGTAAGCTCTGTCAGTGACTTCCCACATATTGTTTGTTTTACTACAGGATGGGGACATCATGGTGCTTTGTATAGGAAACAAGATATACCACATATATTTCAACAGGCAGAAGAAGATCTATTGGGATGTGTCCTGTTGTTCCTACGAAAAGTGGTGTGTAGTCCACATATAGTGGTGAAGAAACCATTTCAAGCAGAGTGCTGCTTTGTGCATCTTTTCTTCCATCCTGGGAATTAATGGGGCATATTCTCATTCAAGAGCTCTAGGAAACAGCTGTTTATATTACAGATGAATGGGCCCCAACCACTTGTGCCGGCACAGGAATGTATTGCATTATATTTTTGACATTTATGTCTTCCTTCATACAGGCCTGAGGCTTGATGTTCTCTTTTTGACGCATATTGTGCTTGCTGCATTGCATACATGTGATATTCATATCCATAGTATAATTTTTGGATTCCCTGATTGGGATTTACCATCATGGTAATAGCTTAATCTATTATATCTTACATTACGGTATGCCTATGGTATAATTTTTGGATACACCTCCTTTGGGAAGTGTTCACCTATGTGTCTGTGCTACAGGGACATTAGACTCTTGTAGTCATTTTTTCTGCTGCACATGCATTCAGACCGGTTTTGGTGTCATTTTATATGGTTTTAGGTCTGTGTGTATTGTCTCATACTGTGGTGATGGTAAACCAGGGCGATTGCCTATTTGTCATATTTATATATGTGTAATAAAGCATAATTTTTGGAAATTTTTCTGAGTGTCACGTTCTGTTCACTATGTAGCCGCTTTTCTGTGAATCTCTTTTCACAAATCCCCTTTTTTTATATGCCTCTTTTGGCTACTGAATGGAGACCAAATATTGGGTGACACGATAATTTATTCAACAACCTCTTAATAACTATCTTTAGCAGACCCCATGAGATGCCCCTGGTAACTTTTTCATAGGCTTTTTTGAGTTTGGGCAAGGACACAGGGGCCCCATGATCCCCTATTGCCCGGGGGCCCCATGAGTTGTGAGTCCGCACCTGCTCCAAACACATATAGATATAACTCTCAGGCATACAAGTCGTGCAACTGTCTTGAGCACCCTTTCTCAACCAGGGTTCCATGAAACCCTAGGATCCCTCAAGGGGTGGCTAGGGGTTCCTTGAGTTGAGGCCAACTGACCTGGGGCGGGGGTGGTGGGTTGGGGGGCATGTTTCATAAGCTTTTTTGGGTGTGATTTAAGTGTGGGCGAGGACACAGGGGCCCCATGATCCCCTATTGCCTGGGAGCCCCATGAGTTGTCAGTCCGTCCCTAGTACAATATATATGTAAAGTGCTGAGTACATTGACGGCGCTATATAGGAACCTGATATAAATAAATCATAAATAATAACTTATCTGAGAGACAGAAAGTTCTTATTGCTCAAGCAACCCCTAAAATTCTCTGGAGGAACCCTAGGGCTCTACAGAACTACGGTTGAGAAACCCTTTTCCATATAGTGATGCTGATGGCATTTAAAACTCTATGGAGGTTCCATTTCTTTCCTATTCTTTGTAAGAGTAAGGAAGGGGTAAAGGTATGTGATGGTGTTCCCACTGGGGAGATTCCCCCTCACTTCCCAATGTGTCACCAGAAGAGGAAGTGAGGGGAAGCCCCTTGATGGGGACACAAGCAACCATAAAAAACCTGTTCTGAGGAAGGGTTGCAATCTCTGTCAAGATTTTATTGCCGATTTTATTGTTCTATAAGGAGCAGGTATTCTATCCTAAAGATACGTACTCTAGAAGGCCACCTAGAGGAGCACAGCCGGCAAAAAGTAGGAGTCATTGTCAATACCTGAACTTAGTGGTTGAGCTTCTTGTCCATGTAATCGGTCAGACAGAGCCGAAATCTCTTCCACTGGGACACAGACAGCGGTTAAAGCTTGACAGAGGTTCTAGTCCTTCCCACTCCTGAACTGGAACATTTTTTGACCTGGATGCTGTGCATCCAAGTATGGACCTTCTCAACTAAATCATAGAAGCATGTGATTTTTTAAAGATCATAGGATGGGTTAATGGAATGGCACTGTCACAAATGAAAATCAAAGCTATTTGTGCAGTTTGAGCTTCAGTTTGGATACCGGTTTAGAATTATTGCAAAATTTTAAAGCAAATACTTACCTATATTTTTGCTTTTCAGCTTCTTGTAGGATAAAAACATAATGACAATAAGGGTAATAATTAAGGCAATGACGGCAAGTATAATCCACTCCAGTGCAGGTTCTTCCATTTGTAGTTGACGGGTATGTCCTTCTGTAAGGAAAGTTGAAGGCCATATTATATCTCTTCAAGACTAAATTAAAGTATCATTTCCTAAAATATTTCATTTCACAAAAATGTCTTATTTTAAGAATCACATTCCTCATTGGCAACAGTCTGACTCTCAGCTGAGAGTCAGTCCTAGAGTTTCCATTCAAGATGTCTCTTCCATAACACAGGTGTATATCCATCTTCCTTTTAATAACCATCAGTCTTTTTGGCAAATACACTTCCTACCTGCTATGAAGATATAAAGATCTCCTGTTTCTTACATGTCTGTCCATGGCAGGGGCGGACTGACAACTCATGGGGCCCCCGGGCCATAGGGGATCATGGGGCCCCTGTGTCCTTGCCCAAACTCAAAACAGCCTATGAAAAAGGAACCAGGGGCATCTCATGGGGCCCCCTACTGACCCCGGGCCCTCGGGCAGTGCCCGAGTTTCCAAATGGTCAGTCCGCCCCTGGTCCATGGTTTTGGCATGAAATGTCCATTGTCCAATAAACTCATAAAGGTGTGTTGGACATATCGATGAAAAAGGCAAAGCAGCTGCTGGTTCCCTCCACTGCTGGTTGGTTGTGTGTTGGAGCATACACAAGACTAATGAGGGTTACATTGTCGAAGAAAGAGGAGAGAAACCCATAGCCTTCCATACTAGGGAGTGCCATGATTTAATCATTGCTCTAACAAATAGGGCAACGGGTACACTATAAGTTCAAAAGGTGGTGGACACCCCAACAAATGACTGAGTTCCAGCTAAGGGTACTGTCAATGCATGCAAAGACATTTTAGACAATTGTGCACATCCAAAATTGTGGTAACAATTTAGTGAATACCCTTTTCTGTTCCTGAACGACTGTTCCCCCGTGTGTTAAGCTCCATAAAAGACATGGTTTGATGAGTTTGGTGTGGAGGAAGCTGAGTGGCTTGCACAGAGCCCTAAATTCAACCCAACTGTTCACCTTTGGAATAACTTGGAACACCAATTGTGAGCCAAGTCTTGTCATTCAACATTAGTACCTGACCTTATAAATGGTGGCCAGCTCCATGAAGACATGGTTTGACCAGTTTGGTGTGGAGGGACTTAAGAGGTCTACACAGAGCAAATGCCTCAACTTTACTAAACACTTTTTGAATGACTTGGAACACTGATTATGAGCCAGGTCTTCTCGTCCATCATTGGTACCTAACCTGACCTCACAATATTCTTCTGGACAAATGGACAACAATGACCCTAGACAAAAAAATCTTGTAGGACTCCTTTTCAGAAGGGTGGAGGATATTATAGCCACAAGGAGGCCCTTGTGCACAAAGCTCCATAAAGACATGGTTTGATGATTTTAGTGTGGAGGAAGCTGAGTAGCCTGTACAGAGCCCTAACCTCAACCCTACTGCACACCTTTGGGATGACTTGGAGCACAAATTGTAAGCTGGATCTTGTCACCCAATATCAGTACCTGAACTCATAAATGGTGGCCATCTCTATAAAGACATGATTTGATGATTTTAGTGTGGAGGAAGCTGAGTGGCCTGTACAGAGCCCTAACCTCAACCCTACTGCACACCTTTGGGATGACTTGGAGCACAAATTGTACGCTGGATCTTGTCACCCAATATCAGTACCTGAACTCATAAATGGTGGCCATCTCTATAAAGACATGATTTGACTAGTTTGGTGTGGAGGAACTCAATTTGTCTACACAGAGCCGTAACCTCAACCCTACTAAACACCTTTGGGATGACTTGGAGCGCATATTGTAAACTGGATCTTGTCACCCATTATCGGTACCTAAACTCATAAATGGTGGCCATCTCTATAAAGACATGATTTGACTAGTTTGGTGTGGAGGAACTCAATTTGTCTACACAGAGAATTAACCTCAACCCTACTAAACACCTTTGGGGTTGACATAGAACACCAATTATGAGCCATGTCTTCAACCTTCAACAGTACCTGACCTGACAAATGTTTTTTTGGCTGAATGGTTAAAAAAATTCCCATGGGACACTTCAAAATCTTGCGGAAAGCATTCTAAGAAGAGTGGAGGATTTTAAAGGCCAACTCCATAACAAACGTCCATGCTTTTGGATTGGGAGGTCCAACAAACTCATATAGCTGTCATGGTCAGGTGTCTTCACCTTTGGACATATCAATGGGAATATGCTACTGATCCTTTGACTTTATCCCAAGAAAGCACACTACCGGCCCCCTTCTTCAATTCTTCAACTTCAATCTTCTCTTACTAGGATAAGTAAAATGGGGCTAATTTACCACAGTGGTCTTTGCAGCAGTAAAAACCAGTTTAATCCTTCAGAACCAATGGCTTTACTGCATTTGCTCTGCAGAAAGCAGCTCGCCCCCTTTGCAGGATGTCTGTGGTTCACCAAATGTTATATTTACATCCTTAGTCAACTGTAGATACAGTCAGCAGATGTGAAAGGTGTGAAACAAATAAACACAAACACCTTTCTTTTGCTTAACTTTATTGAAGCTGTCACTACAGCTATATCGACAATAATCCTACTACTAATTGATACCATTGATAGTTTCGACTTCACTAACAACCAAAATTCTAATGGTCAAACATAGGGCTAGTAGATTGCTCAGGGGTCTATTTATGGAAAAAAAAAATCACTGGATGGATGTCACCAGCATTCACCCAACCCTAGCGTCCTATACCCAAATTTTGTATAATATATTTATTTTCAATGATCGTCAGCTCCATCTAGTGGCCATAATGCGGTATTTGGCTGATTGAGAAATTTCTAAAAATATTGCATTATAACCACTAGATGGAGCTGCTGATCATAAGAAATAATCATATTATTAGACAACACATGAGGATAATTCACTACGGCTGGGCGAATGCTTGATGTAACATAACCGACCCGACTGCACTTCCGTTAGAATACCACTTCCCCATCTGAACACCGACAACAGCCACCACAGCTGACCATACAAGACTAGACGACACCAATCTTGAAGTAAACCAGGAGGTAGACTAGTTTATTTTAACACAGATACAAGATATATACACTCAAGGGAACAATCCCCCTCCCTGCATAATGATAGAGGGCAGGGCAATCTACATTTAGTAACAAGAGACACCAACAGACAGTCCCATCAGGAGGGAGGGCTGCTGGAGACACCCCCCCCCCCCCACTAAGCTAATACACATAAACACATACATCCCATAATAGTTTGCTCCCAAGCCAGACGCACAATAGAACAATGGGATGCGACCAGATCACCCTGTACCCCTAACAGGCACAGGGTGACTTACACATAAAGGGATATGGGGAGCAGAGACAGGGGTCTCCCCACCTCTCCAAAGTGAGCTGGGTTCCATGGGCCCCCCACCCAAAGTGACTCCTTCACACTTGACATTCGTTGTGAATTTTTTTTTTTATAAAAATGGACATCTGAGTATCTACCGATGACAACAGATCACTTTTTACAAGGTGGTAAGCATTACTGCCAGGGCCGGGACAAAGGGTGGGCAGGAGCGGTGGCTGCTTTGGGCACTGCGGTATCATGTGAGGTAAGGGGGGGAACCATATGGAAGTTGGGGGGAGGGGATTTGTGTTGAGAAGGGGAATTTGAGGGGCGGCAGGGGGTAAGTATTGTTCTAGAAGGGGAAATTTGGGAGGTGTGCTAGGATTGGTGATTTGGGGGGATTTTGTGTTGGGAGGGGCATGGGGAAAGAGAATTTGTGTTAGGAGGGGGGTGTCATAAAAGTGATATGGTGGGGGAGGCAATTTGTGCTAGGAGATTTTTTTTTTTTTTTGGGGGGGATTTGTGTGTTAATAGGGATGTTTGGGGGATATTTGTGTTAGGATAGGTGATTGGGATGGGGAATTTGTACTGGAAAGGGGGATTTGGAATGAGGGGGGGTAATTTGTGCTAGCAAAAGGAAATTTGTGCTGGGGGCATATGGGGAGAGAAAGGATTTTAGCTGAGGGGGATTTGTCCTGGGAAGGGGGATTTCAGCAGGGCTGCAGGGGGTAAGTATTGTTCTAGGAAGGGAACATTTGGGGAGGTGTGCTAAAAGTGGTGATTTGAGGGGATTTGAGTTGGAGGGGAAATGGGGGAAAGAGAATTTGATGTTTGGGGGATATAAAAGCTAAGGTGGGTGATTGGGATGGGAATTTGTGCTGGGGACTAGAAGGGAAAGGATTTTAGAATGGGGGGGGGGTATTTGTGCTAGTAGGGGGATTTTGGGGGATAGTGTGCTAAGATGGGTGATTGGGACATTTGGGGAATTTGTACTAGAAGGGGGGGGGATTTGAATTGGGGGAGGGTATTTGTGCTGGTAGGACGTTTATTAGGGGATATGTGTGTGCATAGGATGGGTGACTGGGATGGAGGCAATTTGTACTAGAAGGGGGGGGATTTTTTTGGGGGGGGGGGGGTATTTGTGCTAGTAGGGATGTTTGGGGGATATGTGTGCCAAGATGGGTGATTGGGATGGGGAATTTGTACTAGAAGGGGGGGACTTGGAATGGGGGAGTATTTGTGCTAGTAGGGACGTTTGGGGGATATGTGTGCTAGGATGGGTGATTGGGATGGGGAATTTGTACTAGAAGGGGGGGGGGATTTGGAATGGGGGGGGGGGGTGTATTTGTGCTAGTAGGGACGTTTGGGGGATATGTTGTGCTAGGATGGGTGATTGGGATGGGGAATTTGTACTAGAAGGGGGATTTGGAATGGGGGGGGGGGGTATTTGTGCTAGTAGGGATGTTTGGGGGATATTTGTGCTAGGATGGGTGATTGGGATGGGGAATTTGTACTAGAAGGGGGGATTTGGAATGGGGGGGGTATTTGTGCTAGTAGGGAATTTGGGGGATATTTGTGCTAGGATGGGTGATTGGGATGGGGAATTTGTACTAGAAGGGGGGGGGGGGGATTTTTGGAATGGGGGGGGGGGGTATTTGTGCTAGTAGGGATGTTTGGGGGATATGTGTGCTAGATGGGTGATTGGGATGGGGTAATTTGTACTAGAAGGGGGGGATTTGGAAGGGGGGGTATTTGTGCTAGTAGGGACATTTGGGGGATATGTGTGCTAGGATGGGTGATTGGGATGGGGAATTTGTACTAGAAGGGGGAATTGGGGGGGGGGGGGGTATTTGTGCATTTGGAATGGGGGGATGTATTTGTGCTAGGAGGGGTTGATTGGGATGGGAATAGGGGGGGAATTTGTTTGGGGGTGGATATTTGTGCTAGTAGGGACATTTGGGGGGATATGTGTGCTAGGATGGGTGATTGGGATGGGGAATTTGTACTAGAAGGGGGGATTTGGAAGGGGGGGGGGTATTTGTGCTAGTAGGGATGTTTGGGGGATATGTGTGCTAGGATGGGTGATTGGGATGGGGAATTTGTACTAGAAGGGGGGATTTGGAAGGGGGGGGGGTATTTGTGCTAGTAGGGATGTTTGGGGGATATGTTGTGCTAGGATGGGTGATTGGGATGGGGAATTTGTACTAGAAGGGGGGGATTTGGAATGGGGGGAGGGATATTTGTGTTTGTGTAGGAGACGTTTGGGGGATATTTGTGCTAAGGTGGGGTGATTGGGATGGGGAATTTGTACTAGAAGGGGGGGATTTAGGAATGGGGGGGGTATTTGTGCTAGTAGGGACGTTTGGGGGATATGTGTGCTAGATGGGTGATTGGATGGGGAATTTGTACTAGAAGGGGGGGGAATTTTGGAATAGGGGGGGGGGTGCTTTGTGCTAGTAGGGACGTTTGGGGGATATTTTGTGCTAGGATGGGTGATTGGGATGGGGAATTTGTACTAGAAGGGGGGTATTTGGAAAGGGGGGGGGGGGTATCTGTGCTAGTAGGGATGTTTGGGGGATATGTGTGCTAAGATGGGTGATTGGGATGGGGAATTTGTACTAGAAGGGGGGTTTGGAATGGGGGGAGAGGGTTTGTGCTAGCAAAAAGGAAATTTGTGCTGGGGAGAGAAAGAATTTTAGCTGGGGGGGGGGGGATTTGTCCTGGGAAGGGGGGATTTCAGCAGGGGGTGGATTTGTACTGTAATGCTTAGGGGGGTAAGCTGTATGCATTTTTTTTTTTTTTTCGTTTTGGGAGGGGAGAGTTTTCCACATACATCATGCTCATTCATCTTGGGGAGGGCGCAATTTGACATGTCCTCCCTGGGCGCTGGCACTGATCACCGTCTGTCTGAAAGGACTCTTTCTGGTAAATGTCATTCTCTGATCTTTCATTTTTCCCGGCTGCAGTGACAGCTTTGATAAATCCGGAATGTTTCTTTCATGTAAAAGATGACATAATTACCTCTGGGACAATACTGCCAGGGGGTGACGGTTCTGGAGACGTTGCTGACGGGGTTTTTGGCGGTACATTCGCAGGTGACTTGCGGGTAAACATGATATAAATGAAGCGTTCGGTCACTTATATATAAGTCGCTGGTGTTCGGGTCATTCCAGGAGATGGTGACGTTTGAAGCATTCACTAGGCAGGTCAGGGCCAGGCTGCAGGTCCCGTTGCTGGTCACGTCAGCGCGAATATTTATGTCATCGTACAACAAGACGGCTGCAATAGATTAGGGTACAGTGTATGTGAATGTAAAATGAAGGACAGTATTGGGGATCCGCAAAAGCTTAGCGTGACACAAGGTGCAAGGAATCTATTAAAGCTGAACTTTGGGCACAAAAACTTGTATTCCTTAGTAGCCACAAGGGATATGAATCCACTTTCTGTGGACCAAGTGCTTTTCCAAATCTAGATGTTACCTGGTAAATGTAGCAGTGACATCATCATCATCATAGCCTGTGTAGAGAGCAGAGTTGCTCATTTTAAGGGGTTCCCACCATCCCTGTGCTGAGGTCCTGGGTCTGTACACCTGTTATGGTTTGCTAGGTCTGTACACCAGCTGTGCCCATCATGAATGGTTCCCACCACCTCTGCACCAGGTTCTCAGGTCTGTACAGCTACAGAGATGCCCTGGTCTGGAAACCTCATGTGCCCATTATGTACCCACCATCCCTGTGCTGAGTTCCCGGGTCTGTACACCTGCTGTGCCCATTTTGAAGGATTCCCACCATCCCTGTGCTGAGTTCCCATGTCTGTACACCCACTGTGCCCATTATGAGGGGTTCCCATCATCCCCGTGCTGGGTTCCTGGGTCTGTACACCTGCTGTGCCCATTTTGAAGGGTTCCCACCATCCCTGGGCTGAGTTCATGGGTCTGTACACCTGCTGTGCCCATTATGAAGGGTTCCCGCCATTCCTGTGCTGAGTTCACGGGTCTGTACACCTGCTGTGACCATTTTGAGGGGTTCTCATAATCCCTGTGCTGAGTTCCTGGGTCTGTCCACCCTGCTGTGCCCCTTGCTGAAGTTCAGGGTCTGTACACCTCATAGGGGTTCCATAATCCCTGTGCTGAGGTCCCAGGTCTGTACACCTGATTTCCAGGTCTGTACACCAGCTGTGCCCATCATGAATGGTTCCCACCACCTCTGCACACAGGTTCCCAGGTCTGTACACCTACTGAGATGTCCTGGTCTGGAAACCTACATGTCCTGGTCTGGAAACCTCATGTGCCCATTATGATGGGTACCCACCATCCCTGTGCTGAGTTCCCAGGGCTGTGCACCTGCTGTGCCCATTATGAGGGGTTCTCATAATCTCTGTGCTGAGTTCCTGGGTCTGTACACCTGTTATGATTTCCAGGTCTGTACACCTGCTGTGCCCATCATGAATAGTTCCCACCACCTCTGCACCAGGTTCCCAGGTCTGTACACCTACTGAGATGCCCTGGTCTGGAAAATTCATGTGCCCATTATGATGGGTACCCATTATCCCTGTGCTGAGTTCCCGGGTCTGTACACCTGCTGTACCCATTACAAAGGGTTCCTACTATCCCTGTGCTGAGTTCCTGGGTCTGTACACCTGCTGTGCCCATTATGAGGGGTTTCCACCATCTCTGTGCCGAGTTCCCTGGTCTGTACACCCGCTGTGCCCATTATGAGGGGTTACCATCATCTCTATGCAGAGTTCCCTGGTCTGTACACCCGCTGTGCCCATTATGAGGGGTTCCCACCATTCCTGTGCTGAGTTCCTGGGTCTGTACACCCGCTGTGCCCATTATGAGGGGTTCCCAGCCCTCTACACTTGCAGTGCCCATGGCGTTCCATCTATGATATTACCTTTATGCAGAATAAAAAAATAAACGTAAAAAAACCCCCATAAAGACCTCCTCAAACACAAAAGTCCATTTTTTACTTACGGTAGACTTTGAGGCGAAATTGCTGGTGAAGGTCTAAGACATTGGCCGTGTAGGTTCCTTGGTCTTTCCTGGTGACATTGGAAATTTTCAGGGAGACGCCATTCACGCAATGCAATCGTCCCCTGAACCTCTGGTTCTTCACCTCGATTTTCCCATTGGCCTCTGTTGTGGCAATGTGGGTTTTAGCGAAGATCCAATGGATTTCACTCACTCCCGTCTCATTGATAGGTAGAATGACGTCCCTCTCCGCGGCAGAGATAACATCCACAGTGTGTCGAGAAGCTCGGGCAAATTGCACTGTCGGCAAAAAAAATGAAAAAAACAGATCAGCTGAAGCTCTTCAGATCATAAGTCCATTCATAAAAAAAGTTTGATTAATCGAGTTTAATTGGCTGCAGCAGACTGGTACATTGGTGGGCCGCTACCAGTTATTGCACTTCCATATCATCCTTGCTCTTTGTTGTGACCAAGCCAGGGGCGGACTGACCATTCGAGCACTCGGTCACTGCCCGAGGGCCTGGGGTCAGTAGGGGGCCCCATGAAATGCCCCGGTACCTTTTTTATAGGCTTTTTTGGGTGTGCTTTGAGTGTGGGCAAGGACACAGGGGCCCCATGATCCCCTATTGCCCAGGGGCCCCATGAGTTGTCAGTCCGCCCCTTGACCAAGGCCAACATTATCTCTAATTTAAATATAGCTCCATCTTTCCCACACGGCACAACTAGATACCTTCACAATTCAGAATTTAAATAATTTTTTACAAAATACTGAAAGTTTTGCCAAAATTTAGCTATTTTTGACAATGCATTGAAGTCTGGGCAGCACAGTGGCTAAATGGTTAGCACTTCTGCCTGGCAGTACTCGGGTCATTGGTTCAAATCCCAGCCACAACACCACCTGCCTGGAGTTTGCATGTTCTCCCTGTGACTGTGTGGGTTTCCTCCAGGTACTCTGGTTTTCTCTCACACTCCGAAGACATGCTGGTAGGTTAATTGGCTCCTGTCTAAATTGGCCCCAGTATGTGTATGTATGAATGTAAGTTAGGGACCTTAGATTGTACACCCCTTGAGGGTTAGGGACCTTAGATTTTACACCGCTTGAGGGTTAGGGACTGATGTGAATGTACAAACCTATATATTGTAAAGTGCTGCGTAAATTGGCGGCGCTTCAAGTACCTGAAATAAATAAAAGTACCTGAAATAAATTGGGGGCGGGGAAGGTGGTTTTGATAGTTTTTAATGGGTAATAATGAGTTTCAATTAGCTCCTGAGGGTCCGTTCAACTAAATTCAAGTACAGCTTCACCTTTTCCACAAGGCATGAATTCTCTTAAATTTTTGTTTACAAAAATCTGAAAATTTTAGCAAAATTTAGCTTTTTTGGAAAATGCATTGAAGTCAATGGGGAAGGGGGAATTAAGGCGGTTTTGGTGGTTTTTAATGAGTTCAGTGAGTTTCAAATGGCTCCTGAGGGTTTGCGGAGGATCCTTTCAACTAATTGAAATTATAAATCCATTATCACCATAATTTTGGCAAAATTTGAAAATGCATGAAAGTCAATAATGAGGGGCAATTTAAGGGAGTTTTGGTGGTTTTTAATGGGTGCAATTAGTTTTTTTGACTCATGAAGGTTGTGGAAGGTCCTTCCAAATGAAATTATAGACCCACCATCCCCAAAAGGCAGGAAAAGGTACTTGCAAAATTAGATATTTTAATTTTCCCTAAATGCTCTAAAAAATATCTTAAATTTTTGGCAAATTTTATTTTTTTTTTGTAAAATGCACTGAAGCAAAAATTAAGATTGGTATTGGTGGTTTGTCATGGGTTCAATTAGGTTTAAATGGCTCCTGAGGTTTGTGGAAGATCCTTTCAACTAATTAAATTATAAAGCCACCATCTCCACAAGGCAGAAATAGGTACCTGCAAAACTAGGTTTCTAATTTCCCCCAAATTTTCTGAAATAATTAAATAAAATAACTACATTTGTTACAAATTTTTTTTGTTCTTTTTTTTAAAATGCACTGAAGTCATCTGGCAAGAGGAAATGAAAGTTTGTTTTGGTGGTTTTTAATGGGTTCAATGAGTTTTAAATGGCTCCTGAGGGTTGCGGAAGATTCTTTCAACTAATCTAAATAATAGATCCATCATCCCTATAATTTTGGCAAAATTTTGCTATTTTGAAAAATGCATGGAAGTCAATAATGAGGGGCATTTTAAGGGCGTTTTGGTGATTTTTTTTAAATGGGTATTTTTACTTTTATTAACTCAACGAAAAAACAGAAAGTGAAAAGAAGTAGCATACAAAAAAAATTAAATTGGCGGTAGACAATACCATGTATTGGCTAATTTAAGTTGTTAAAGATGCAAGCTTCAGGGGTTCCTAGATCCCTCCACACTTTCTGCAATAATCAATGGCTAACACATTACAATGCTCTACTACTACTAAATGAATGAAATAAACAGAGAATATAAATCAAAAACAGAAAATATATATTTTTTACAGCAGATTTTTCCTAACAATTTTGCAAAGGAAACAGAAATTTGATCATTAAGATCAATTTCAAGCAAATAAGTCATTTTGGAGGTAGGAAAGTGTAATAACATTTATCATATCTTATCTTGTTTGGTAAGAACGGGCTCTTCAAGTAACCCGTCTTTCCAGTCTTTATATCATCGGTGGTCGGTGGGAAGAATGTCCCTTACATTGGTGGTCAGTGGGAAGAATGTCCCTTACATTGGTGATCAGTGGGAAGAATGTCCTTACATTAGTAGTCAATGTACATTGGAAGTCAATGGAAAGAATGCTCCTTACATTGTTGGTCAATAGGAAGAATACTACTCACATTCATGGTCAGTGGGAAGAATGCTCCTTACATTGGTGGTCAGTGGGAAGAATGTCCCTTACATTGGTGGTCAATAGGAAGAATGCTCCTTACATTGGTGGTCAGTGGGAAGAATGATCCCTACAGTGGTGGTCAATGGGAAAAATATTCCTTACATTGGTGATCAGTGGGAAGAATGTCCCCTACATTGGTGGTCAGTGGGAAGAATGCCCCTTACATTGGTGGTCAGTGAGAAGAATACTCCTTACATTAGTGGTCAGTGGGAAGAATGTCTCTTACATTGGTGGTCAATGGGAAGAATGTTCCTTACATTGGTGGTCAATGGGAACAATGTCCCTTACATTGGTGAACAGTGGGAAGAATGTCCCTTACATTGGTGGACAGTGGGAACAATGCTCCTTACATTGGTGGTCAATAGGAAGTATACTCCTTACATTGATGGTCAGTGAGAAGAATGTTCCTTACATAGGTGGCCAGTGAGAAGAATGTTGCTTACATAGGTGGCCAGTGAGAAGAATGTTCCTTACATAGGTGGCCAGTGAGAAGAATGTCCCCTACATTGGTGGTCAGTGAGAAGAATGTCCCTCACATTGGTGGTCAGTGGGAAGAAAGCCTCTTACATTGGCAGCTAGTAGGAAATATTCCATCCTTGGAGGTCAGAATGTCACCTCTACAGTCAGGTAAATTATTTGGTTTATTATTTGGTTCATTCAGCTGGCTCTTCCAAGTGGCGTTGGCTCTGGAACTATGCAGGCACCATCAGATAGAAGCTCAGCCAGCCACACCGTAAGGAATCCCTAGCAACTTCTTGAAGAACCCTGGTTGAGAACAGCTGGTTTAGGTTGATAATCATTTTCGAGGAATGACAATCTCACGATCAGGCATCTTCTGTGATTGTCTTTGTATCCATTTAGTTCTCATATGGCTGTTGGCCTTTTGTCAGATCTTCATCACATTTACAAAAACCCCACAGAAAGACAGAAAATAGAGTAGTAGACCGATGATTCTAATTAGAGTAATCAGAATTGGTCCTGAAGCAGAAAATCCATTGAAGAGGCTGAAATGGATGACTTTCCAAGAGTTAAAGTAGAAGATAAAAATATTAACAATCAAGTTTAGGAGGAATGTCGATGGATGCACTTACCTGTTCGAAGGGAACAATATAGTAGAATTATGTAGTAGAGTTGTAACATTCTCTGTTGCTGAAAATTCGCAGATCAGACTTCCCTTCAGTCATCTGTAACTTTACTTCCTCTTACAATATTATTTTAACACCTCCAAAAAGTTTCCTTTAACGCCCTCAATACCACCATGCTTCTTCATTTTCTAAAAAAAGTCTGGCAAAAATTAGATCACCTTGGGGTGTCTACTTTCCAAATGAAAGGGTCATTTTAGGGGTGTTCTTACTGTCCTGCCATTGTTTTAATAACAGAAAGTAGGGAAAACGTTTTGTGTTCCAAATTATTTGGTCTTTTTTTTTTCTTTCTATAGTAAAAAATAAAAAACCCAGTGGCTATGAAAAAGAAATTTCTCTCTGTCTCCAAAAAATAAAAAAAAAGTTCGGCAGTGCTGGGACAAGGTCATCCAGTGCCCAGGGCCAGGGGCGGACTGACCATTTGGAAACTCGGGTCAGTAGGGGGCTCCATGAGATGCCCCTGGTACCTTTTTCAATGGCTTTTTTGAGTTTGGGCAAGGACACAGGGGCCCCATGATCCCCTATTGCCGGGGGCCCCATGAGTTGTCAGTCCGCCCCTGCCCAGGGCAAAGATACCAAACTGCCCAGCCATGTAACAGGAGGAAGGCATCCAAATCCCTAAGTAAACCATTGAGCCCAGGGCAGCCACCCCTTCCGCCCATTGCTTGTCTCGGCCCTGTATTTGGGTACAGTGTTGCACAGCAGAGTAATTGTTTGTCAAACTATCACTTCACTGAAAACTGCAAAATGGCCTGGAGAGGAAGGAGATGTAGCATGCCTGTTTTGAGTTGGGGAAAAGTCATTAGATGAATAGGGAGGGGGCCATCACTGATCTCTCTCTGAAAATGCTAGCTTCCTGGCTATTTTTCAGTGGACTCTCCAGCTTCACTTCTTTAACCACTTCAAGTCTGGACCCTTTTACCCCCTTCCAGTCCAGACACTTTTACCCCCTTCCAGTCTGGATACTTTCACCCCCTTCCAGTCCGGACACTTTTACCCCCTTCCAGTCTGGATACTTTCACCCCCTTCCAGTCCGGACACTTTCACCCCCTTCCAGTCTGGGCACTTTCATCCCCTTCCTGTCCGGACAATTTCACCCCCTTCCAGTCCGGACACTTTCACCCCCTTTCAGTCCGGACACTTTCACCCCCTTCCAGTCCGGACACTTTCACCCCCTTCCTGTCCGGACACTTTCCCCTCCTTCCAGTCCAGACACTTTCCCCCCCTTCCAGTCCGGACACTTTCCCCCCCTTCCTGTCCGGACATTTTCACCCCCTTCCTGTCTGGACACTTTCCCCCCCTTCCTGTCCGGACACTTTCCCCCCCTTCCAGTCCAGACGCTTTCACCCCCTTCCAGTCCGGACACTTTCACCCCCTTCCAGTCCGGACGCTTTCACCCCCTTCCAGTCCGGACGCTTTCACCCCCTTCCTGTCCGGACATTTTCACCCCCTTCCAGTCCGGACACTTTCCCCCCCTTCCTGTCTGGACACTTTCCCCCCCTTCCTGTCTGGACACTTTCCCCCCCTTCCAGTCCGGACGCTTTCACCCCCTTCCAGTCCGGACGCTTTCACCCCCTTCCAGTCCAGACGCTTTCACCCCCTTCCAGTCCGGACGCTTTCACCCCCTTCCAGTCCGGACACTTTCACCCCCTTCCAGTCCGGACGCTTTCACCCCCTTCCAGTCCGGACGCTTTCACCCCCTTCCTGTCCGGACATTTTCACCCCCTTCCAGTCCGGACACTTTCCCCCCCTTCCTGTCTGGACACTTTCCCCCCCTTCCTGTCTGGACACTTTCCCCCCCTTCCAGTCCGGACGCTTTCACCCCCTTCCAGTCCGGACGCTTTCACCCCCCTTCCAGTCCGGACGCTTTCCCCCCCTTCCAGTCCGGACACTTTCACCCCCTTCCAGTCCGGACACTTTCACCCCCTTCCAGTCCGGACACTTTCACCCCCTTCCTGTCCGGACACTTTCACCCCCTTCCAGTCCAGACACTTTCACCCCCTTCCTGTCCGGACACTTTCACCCCTTCCTGTCCGGACACTTTCACCCCCTTCCAGTCCGGACACTTTCACCCCCTTCCTGTCCAGACATTTTCACCCCCATCCAGTCCAGACACTTTCACCCCCTTCCAGTCCAGGCCAATTTTCAGCTTTCAGCGCTATCACACTTTGAATGACAATTGTGCGGTCATGCAACACTGTACCCATATGAATTTGTTAGCATTCTTTGAGACAGATAAAACTTTATTTTGGTGGTATTTATTCACCGCTGGGATTTATAGCTTTTTGCTATATAAATGATAAAGTGCAAAAATTTTGAAAAAAAAATGTTTTTCTTATAAAATTTTGCAAATAAATAATCTTTCTTCAGAAATGTTGGCCAAAAAGTATTCAGCTATTTTTTAGTAAAAAAAAAATTAGTTTATAACCAAAAATTATAATTTTTCAAAAATGTTTTTTACTTTTTTTAATATTATTATGTTTTTTTTTAACATACTGTCACCCTAGCAGTACAGTGTCACCATAGTGACAGGGGTCAGCAAGGCAGAGGGCGTGACTCATCAATGGCAGGGCAGAGGACAGGAGTCACTGCTAGAAGGGCAGAGCACAGGGGTCACCATTGGCAGGGCAGAGGACTGGTGTCATGAGAGAGCACAGGAGAATAGGGGTCACCGCTGGCAGGAGAAAGGACAGGGGTCACTGCTGAAAGGAGGGAGGAGAGGGGTCACCACTGGCATGAGGGAAGACAGGGGTCACCACTGACAGGAGGGAGAATAGGGGTCACCACTGCTAGAAGGGTAAACAGGGGTCAATAATGGCAGGAGGGAGAACAGGGGCCACCACTGGCAGGGCAGAGGACCGTTGTCATGAGAGAGCACAGGGGTCACTGAAATGAGGGAGGACAGAGGTCAATAATAGCAGGATGGAGGACAGGGGTCACCACAGGTATGAGGGAGGACAGGGGTCACTGCTGGCATAAGGGAAGACAGGGGTCACCACTGACAGGAGGGAGAATAGGGGTCACCGCTGGAAAAAGGGAGAACAGGGGTCACTGCTGAAAGGTGGGAGGACAGGGGTCAATAATGGCAGGAGGGAGAACAGGGGTCACCACTGGCAGGAGGGAGAATAGGGGTCACCGCTGGCAAAAGGGAGAACAGGGGTCACTGCTAGCAGGAGAGAGGACAGGGGAAACTGCTGAAAGGAGGGTGGACAGGGGTCAATAATGGCAGGAGGGAGAATAGGGGTCACTACTGGCAGGAGAGAGGACAGGGGTCATGCTGAAAGGAGGGTGGACAGGGGTCAATAATGGCAGGAGGGAGAACAGGGGTCACCAGTGGCAGGAGGGAGAATAGGGGTCACCGCTGGCAAAAGGGAGAACAGGGGTCACTGCTGGCAAGAGAGAGGATGGGTCACTGCTGAACGGAGGGAGGACAGTGGTCAATAATGGCAGGAGGGAGAACAGGGGTCACCACTGGCAGGAAGGATAATAGGGGTCACCACTGGCAGGAGAGAGAATAGGGGTCACCGCTGGCAGGAGAGAAGACAGGGGTCACTGCTAAAAGGAAGGAGGACAGGGGTTACCACTGGCATGAGAGAAGGCAGGGTCACTGCTGGCAGGAGGGAGAATAGGGGTCACCGCTGGCAGAAGGGAGAACAGGGGTCAATAATGGCAGGAGGGAGAACAGGGGTCACCACTGGCAGGAGGGAGAACAAGGGGTCACCGCTGGCAGGAAAGAGGACAGGAGTCACTGCTGAAAGGAGGGAGGACAGGGGTCAATAATGAAAGGAAGGAGAATAGGGGTCACCGCTGGCAGGAGGGAAAACAGGGGTCACCACTGGCAGGAGGGAAAACAGGGGTCACCACTGGCAGGAGAGAGGACAGGGGTCACCACTGGCAGAAGGTTGAATAGGGGTCACCACTGGCAGGAGGGAGAACAGGGGTCACCGCTGGCAGGAGGGAGAACAGGGGTCACCACTGGCAGCCAGAAAGGGTTCCTGCAACTTCCCAGGTTCCCAAAAAGTGAGCAGTATTTAAGTGTAGGTGACAGATACCCAGCATCTGCCTGACCCACATCTAGAATGAAGGGGCCCCTAAGCCACAGTGTTCCCTTGTACAGCTTCACAGTTTGCGAATATGAAACACCCACCCCTGTATCCAACCATTAGCGAGGTCAGTGGCCACCTTTAAATTGATACTTGGCTGAATATTGCGATT